CTTAATAATATCGACTATGGGATTATATTATACATGCGTACACTTTGCCCCATGAACGATCTATTTACCTTTTGTAGACGAAACAATGGCGTATTAATTTGTCCTTATTTCTAGTAATTAATTTATGTCTGTCACTATTCTTCAGGTAACAATTAAGATTATGTTTAACATACAAAATATTACAATAAATACATTGGGACGCAACAGTGAGTATATTAATCTCTTTAAAATAAATAAATCTCCGAGTGTATTCCGGCGTCCGATGTTATAGATTGCTTGGACAGTTCTTTTTTGACAAATAAATATAGAATTTATATCAGTTGCACTTTCCCACAACAAAATGCCGTACGATAAGATGCTGAGAAAATAACTAAAGTAAACAAGTCTGGCAATCGCAAAAACAGCGGAGTTTAACCTTGCAAGAGATGATAGATGGGGACTACACTGGAGCTTTTAATCTACTGTCATTCCCAAGTAAACAGTGGACTCAACAGGATTGAGGGATACATTTTTTAATAATAATTTTGGCTTCTTACACTAGGAAGAGTAAAAAGAATACATTTAGTTTTTTTGGCATTTAATACTATATTGTTTATGTTGAACCAGAGGAGTATATGCGAAAGTGCACCATTTAGAAGAAGAGAAGAAGAAGAAGAAACGTTTATTCACGGTCTAAGCACAATAGATACAAAGAACACTTAAAAATAATAATGTAACTACACATTATGTAAAATAATATTAGAATAACTTAAAATAAATGTAAACATAACAAAAAAAAACTAAAAAAAAAAAATAATAATAAGTGAAGGTCTGTGTAGCAGCATAAGACCGTGAAACGGACGGGACTCGGTAAAAGTCGAGATACAGTAACTAAGATTCGTTCTGATCCCGACGCCGGTTTTCAGTCCGCCCGCACTTCGAGACAACTCGGACGGCTGCGTCAGTGCACTTGTAATACTTACCTACAACGCAGTATAGCGATAATTAAACTATTTTTGTTTGAACCTTTCAATTATATAGACAGTGGATATCATTCGTCTGAAGAGGTAAGTAAAAATTAGAACTAATGTTTTCTTATTTGATATTGGTGTCAGCTGCTTTTTTTCCATTTTGGTTTTAGGTTACCAATATTTATCCCTACTCTGTGGCACTGTGACATTTACCGATCGAGCAGTGGACACGTGACTTAATTTGAAACGTAAAATGCGAGACAGACCTCGTTGCGCGCTGGCCACATGATAAAGGTAACAAAATGAGTGTCTTATAAGTATATAAATTATGATATATGTTTATAAAAAAAATATTATGTATATATATTACATTAAATTATATTGTATCAAATCATATTACATTGTATTTTATTATTTACGACGTCGTAATTTGATAAATTTCAGTCAATCTTAAAGATGAGCGATGTATCGTCAGCAAACAGTACAACATTACAAAACTCACTGGAATAAGAGGGCAGATCATTTATATATACTAGAAATAATAATGGGCCCAAGATTGATCCTTGAGGGACACCCATTTTCATGGGGGACCCTGCGGAATTAACATCATTTATAGATACTTTTTGAATTCTATTACGAAGGTAAGAGGTGATGAGATTGAGGGCGCTGTCACGAATGCCATAATAATCTAGCTTGCAAAGAAGGGTTTTGTGATCTACGCAGTCGAAAGCTTTTGAAAGGTCACAAAAGACACCTAAGGCATCTTGTGAATGTTTGTTATAGCTTACCAAGTGCGACACCCGCATCGGTTGTCCATCTGCCTTTAGTGAATCCATATTGCTTATCGTGAAAAATTTTGTTCATATTAAAATGTATTAGTACATATTTTAGTTGATTTAAAATTCGTTTTTCAAATATTTTACTTAGATATGGCAATAACGATATAGGTCTATAGTTGCCTGTATCATTTTTATCCCCACTTTTGAAAACTAGGATTATCTTACTAAATTTCATAAGATCTGGAACTATTCTAGAATCTATATAGTTATTAAAAATGTAAGCCAAATGTGGTGAAATGTATGGCATTATTGTGGTCATTAATTTTATGGACATGCCCCATAAATCCCCTGTATATAGGTCTTTAGTTGTCTGTATCATTTTTATCCCCACTTTTGAAGATGGGGATTATCTTACTAAATTTCATAAGATCTGAAAATATTCCAGAATCTATACAGATGTTAAAATTGTAATCCAAATGTGGTGCAATGTATGGCATTATTGATTGTGGTCATTAATTTTATAGACATGCCCCATAAATCCCCTGTACTTTTAAGATTAATAGAATTCAAAGCTTTTATAATAAGTATCTACGTGATTAAATTTAAACGTGTGTCGACAATAGGTAACATTATTTTTCAATGCATTAATTGCATCTATGGGAGATGATTTTAATGTGCTATTTGCAATTTCATTGTTTGATGTTATGGGAGTGTAATATAAATATATTTTTTATATAGTGAGTAACACCATATAGCTTGTCCGATAATTAGGTCTAAGGTATAACTTAGAATTTTTGTAACTTATATGACATCTATAACCATCGACGTCGGTTTCGAAAAATATGTACTATAAATTTTCTTCCTTCAGATATAAGTAATTTATTGGTCCAAAAACTTTTATGCATTATTCGTTATACATTTTCTGACGCAATAATATGAACAAGTCCATCAAGATTTATTGCCATATACAGAAAGAAATAATAATATATGTATTCTCAGACTGTGCATGACTCTGCCTCTGCAACTTAGTTCATTTCTAAGAAACGCTTGTTAAAGTTTAGTTTAAGGGACAGTAGTGCTGTTTAGAGTATAGTTGTATTGATTACGTGGAAGTTTGTTACCCAGACTTCAAGGAAAAGAAATTCTAGCTTTAACAAGGAATTTCTATTCCTTGTTCAAGCTAGAGAGCCTATTTATATTATATTTTAAAATTATTTATTATATTTTATGTGTGTATATGTTTAAGTACTTATTATATATATATACACACATATAGTGTATGTATTGTACATATTTTTAATATTTTTCATTTTTGTTTGAGACTCTGGCTACATATTATACAACCACAGGAAATCTAAGAAAAAATAGTAAATATATAGGTCACACTAAAAGTTTCCGTAACTGGCCACTTACATAAACAATAAATAAAAACAAATTACAACATTTGAAAATGGAACTCTTTGGCTGTAGAATGCAGTTTATTTCATCTGACTGTCAATTTTTTTTTCATTTTGGCACCAATTTAAAAATTGCGTGTCTACATTAAAATGGATTTAACTCGGGAAAATATTTTTAGTTTGATTTTCTACGATTTAATTGTAATTTGACAGTTCAGCTGAGTCTCGCTCGGCTTCAATCTGCATTTGGCGATGAAGCATCATGCCAGACGACTATATATGGCTGGTTTGCGGAATTCAAGCGCGGTCATATCAATCTCAATGATGAATTTCGCGATGGTCAGTCGTCCACCGGTGTGAACAACAAAAACATCGATGCTGTACGCCGTATGATCGAAACAAACAGTCATGTGACCCACCATGAGTTTCGGGCATCATATAGGAATGAGTCAAATACAAGCAATCCTATACAATCATTTGGATGTAAAAAAGCTATGCTTTCGGTGGATTCCACACAATTTGACCGAGACCACACAAAAAACGGACTACGTCACTTAGTGCAACTCCACTTACCAGGTTCAACGAAGGGGCGTTAAATTTGATTTGGGACATAGTAACATGTCACGAAACATGGATTTATTACTACGATCCCAAAACAAAGCAGCAATCGTGTGTATGGGTCTTTCAAGATAAGCCAAAACCAAACAAAACCGGTGCGCGTGAAAAGTGCATCTAAGCGGATGATTGTTTCTTTTTTAATAAAACTGGCTCCTGTTGTTTTAGAGAATCGTCGTACTGTGAATAGTGACTCGTACACGACCATTTATTTGTTGGTAACTTCTAGTTATTGACAAACTGCGTAAAAATAACCGTCAACGCCGTATCATCTCGCACCTGGACTATGCTAGTTCTTACACGGTCATACAGACAAACGAATTTTAGAACAACGTAGAAGTTATTGGCTGTCCTGGATACAGTCCCGACCTGGCACCTTGTTACTTCTGTTCCCAAAAATGAAGAACCAATTGCGCGGTCAAAGATTTTCATCACCAAAAGAGGCTTTTGAAGAGTATGATAAACACGTCTATGAGATCACCACGGAGGAGTGGCACAAATGTTTTCAAAATTAGTTTATTCGTATGAAAAAGTGCATTCTTTTTTCTTTATTGCATTGCCCTTAGTTTAGGATAACATTATTCTGTGTTATAAGGACGTTCTACATACATACATTTCACGTGGACAAACAACCAGATGCGAAACAACTATCTGTGGGCCACACAAATAGTTGTTCCGTTTGGGAATCGAAACCCACGATCCCCGACGCCGAAGCCAATACATTGGTAACTGCGCCACGGAGTCATCGCTTTACTTTTACACAAAGGGCGAATATTTATGAGAAACAATAAATTAATTTTTGACCTTTAATAGGATTTTTTCTTATTCATTAAGGAAACTTTTAGTGCGCCCCACGTAGATACAACTAACACCGTGTTTATCATTTGGTATAATATAAAATAAAGATTGGAAATATTTAAGATTAATACACAATTGTTTAGACGGTGATTGCAAAACCTGCATATAGTAGCTTATCTCGGGAAAAAAGTAACCAAGAATGTTTATTATTATGACTTAAGTTATTAATAACCCAATTTTATCTTTTAATAACGAGATAAATAAAGTTTTAATAACTTCCATAACGGTTATCGATAATTAAACATGTTCGCTGATACAGAATTAATACGACTCGGAGCGTTACTTTTGCAAAAATATATTCGTTTCATGAAAAATCAATACGGTTGGATTAACCACTACGTCGGTACGCAACATGTCGAGGGAAATCAAATGACGATCATTAGTGTAAAATAACATGCACTATGTGGCAGGTGAAAGATATTAAAAAAAAAAGAAAAGCAAAATAAAAACATGGCAAAGTTAAAAATGTTTCGGCGTAGCTCGCCGCCTGTTTACACACTGCTCGTTCCGCCGGCAACTTCCGGCCGATGCACGCTGAAATATTTCATTTTAAAGCGTTCAAAATACCGCGCCATTGGAACAAAATTTGTTTGGCCTATAAAAATAATAAAATAAGCACGTGCATAGGTTAAAAAAGTGGCCTTTTTGCGTTTCCATTTTCGCATTTGTGAGTGAAAGGCACTATTAAAGACCATATACGTAGTAGAATTTATAGTTGTGGAAAAAAAAAATACTAAGTAGCTGTTATTTCTATTTGCGGGCATATTCATTTGTTTTCGCGTCTGGTTGGGTTTATAGATAAAAAATAAACATATAGATATATATTGCATATATAAAATAAATATTATGAATAAAAATAAACATATAGATAGAAATATTGTATATAATACATATATAAATAGGACACAACCAGACGGAAACCCTCGGCAGGGGAGACCAAACGGCCGAGGGTTAGGGTGAAAGGGAGAGAAACCGGCGGACGATGAAGGCGGTATCGTGGAGCACCGCCTTCTGCATTAGTGCTTGGAGCGTTCCATGCCGAAGTCCCAGTCGCCTCAGATGCCCGGAGAGACTGGGATCAACCCATTCGCAGACACTACTATCCGAATAATTTCGGTCGGCACACCACCCCACATGTCGGTCACCTCGTGAGCCAGGTCCAGATACTTCGTCTTCTTATCTGTTTCAGTTTTCACGAGGTTTTCGTTTATTTCTCATTATTATTAAGGTAATTCGTAAAATATTTTTTTCTACTTGCTATAAAGGTGTGGAAGTGACAGCAGGAGATTGCCTAAACATAATTACTGAAAATGGATCAGGCTACGAAACGAAGGGGGATGTCAACAAAAAAATTGTTTTAATATAATTTTACTGATTGATTAGATTATCAAATAAAATAATATTTTTTTAATTGACAACTTTTGTGATATACAGTATAATAGTTAGCAGCTAATACACTTGATTTACTCGTCCTGAGCATCGCCACTTGTCGCCTATGCTCAGCTTGTTCAAAAATATTCACTTCATTCAAAACCGCTTTCAAGGCCTGTGTTTCTACTAAATCTCTAAGTGAAAAGCTTAAACATACGTACTGTCTTTTTCAGTATTGTTATGAACCTTGCTTTCCTGGCCCTATGAGGAATTGCTCATTCATAATAAAAATAATCATTTTTGACAGCGTCTGTGTTCTGTATTCTATAACTCTAAACCAAAATTTATTCTGTATTAGATAAGAAACTAAAATGTAAGCAAGTCTTGGACAAATTTAAACAACTGTCATTGTAATTCTGAGCCCAAAAGACATTTAACTTATAATCTGGCAATGGCCTACATGATTAGTAATAATTATAGAGTACCAAACACTTGGCAAATGAATAACAAATTATTTAGTTGGTGTTCAAAGACGTGTATATCAAGACGCGAATATCATGATGCATTAGTCTATGTTAATATTGGTATAGTAAAATTTACGTCACTAGTCAAAATTATTTATTTTAGTTTTGTTTGATATTTGCTCCTCAGAAAGCTGCAAATTTAAATCTTATTAATAGCCGAAGCTAGTTTGTAGTAGCTAAATATAGATTTAATATTCACGCATTTTCTTACGTCTTACAAAAAATATTAATGTTTGTTAATTAAAACCTTGGAACATAAAGGCCATGGACTTGCTACAAAACACCGTAGGTTTTGTAGCAAGCCCATGGCCTATATGTTGCAATTATTAGTATATTATTTTAACTTAACTTGAATCGATTTTATATTACCAATGATTATGATTTTAGAACATGTTTATTATATTAATTACGTTATTATTAATTATGAACATCTTCCATTGTTGCACTTTATCACAGCTCTACTGCCTGAAAGTTTTCCCAAAGGGGGAGAAAATTCAAACTTCACAATACAACCCCGTATCGTTGCATAATATGGCGCGTGTTCAGCCAAAGTATTCGTTATGGTATTCGCTACACCTAGCCAACCGGGGCATATGTTCTTAGATATGACGCCGAACGTCAGGTGTTCATCTCGTGACCCACATAACAAAATCTATTTTAAAACGGGCCGTTTAAGTTCAAATGCGAAAAGCGGGGCCGCTGTGATTTGTGCCCGTTTGGAAGTAGAGCCCGCAGAGCCCTCCCCCGCCGAGCGAGCGTCGGCACGGTGGAGGGTACTTGAAACTCTGGCGAGATGATCAGAGCGGCGATATTTGCGAGGCCGGGGGTCGCTCGCTGCATCCTTTTTGCTCGCGGGAGCGCGCGACGCTAGGCGGGCGGGAGGAATCTGCCCGCCGTCACTCACGTCGACTCGTTCGCCACGGTCGTGTGTCCGTACCTCTCCTGTCCGCGACGTACGATCGCCCCGAACCTAGCCGGCACTAACTTGAGCGTACCGCGTCCTAGACGCTCCGATTGTCTGAAAGTATACCTTTTGTCTCTCATACACTCCTAATTACCCCCCCCCTGTTTGTTTATTACCGAAACCGCTTTCCCATTTTTCCGTATAAATATTTCTTCTAAGTTACAATTATAAAGTTTGCTAAAATTTCGCTTTCAGTTTCGTGCTATTTTTAATGATTGATATTATGATATTAGTGTATTAAGGATTATTGGATTGTTTGCAAGGTGAATATTGTTAAAAGACTAAAGCAGCTGGTCGCATCCTGCTCGATCTCATTCAGAACTGTCAAGGAGGTGAGTACCTTTGCTTTTCAATATCCGTTAATTATGCATCCCTTTAAAATGTTTCATTGAAATAACGTTGAAAGCCGGCGTTGAACTAAATGCTATATTTTTTTTATTACCGCAGGTAGTTATTTTGTTAAGTTAAAGGCGTTTAAAATTTTATGTTGCTTTCGTACTTCGTTTGTTTTGAATAAACAAAAGAGAAGAAAGTAGAGCTTATTTCCTTCAGTTGTGATGATCTTTGTTTTTTTTTTTCATCATTTTAATAGATGTAGTAGAAAGCCAACATGTTATAATTTATGTAATCATAAAAATGTCAAATAATAAACATACTTTCAAACTTAATACGTTTAGTTTATTTATTGTTTCGTGCCTATGCATTAATTATGGATGATAAATTGCCGAATGTATCTTGTAAATAATAAAAGTATTTTCTCATAAATCTGTGTTCAGAAGTGGGAATAAATTTACTTCATTTCGTTATGTGCTATATAATGCAGAATGTGACACGTCACATTCTGCATTATATAGACAACCCCGACATAAAAACTCCTCAGTTGACTGTGAATTACTACTCTTAATAGCGTGCAAGCTCTACGAAAGCTTAAATTGGGTCGTCATAATAACATTCTTTTCCCCTTAGTATCTGTAGATTCATTATTTTATCTGTGATTTAAGTACTTAGTACTTCATGATCCAATTATGTGTACGTAGTTTAGTAGATCAATGTTTGCAATGTTTTGTAAATTAATAAGTCGTAGTCAATTTAATTGCTACGGACGAGTAACTCATCGACACATTTTACTGACATTTGATCTTTCACTGCTAAGATATATTTAGTGCAACGACACAGCAGAGCAGTTGCGAACAAAACATTATATTGTTTGACGAAATAGAACCTATAATGTTTACCAAAGATTTCTAAAGTCATAGCCATATTTTTTGTTATATCTTCTGTACAAACTTTATGTTATTCACTTCATATGTTTGATGTTTTACCTGTGGTAGAGTTCTTTAATCATGGTTTAAAATATGGATTTATGTTTGATATACTGCGACGGATTTGCGGCCATTTATTTATCGCTAAATAGATGTGGTGAAATGTTATTTGTTAATTAAATGACAGTACGAAATGGAAAAATAAATAAATTTTAACAACAACGATAATATTTATAAATTTTTAATATTGTTAGGTAGCTTGTAAAGTTAGTAGTTAGTGGAGTTCAACATTTTAGTGATAAAATACATTTATATTGTTATACTACACTAAAATACATTTAACAAGACGGATTTTACTTTACAAACACAATGCAAAATTAATAACTATCGAGCTAACTCACAGAACATAAACAAACATTTCACAACTTACACGAGCTATGTACTTATTTCAGCAAATAGAATAAATATGTCGCAAACTTTCTCCTTTTGGGGTCTTTATGGATAGAATTATATTCGCCTGGGGACGCAGAAATGGAGATATATTCCACCACTGGGACTGTACGAGTTATTGTTGGCGACCTAGACGCTACGGTCAAAGCAAAATCTATATTTCCATTCATATTTCATACACCATTACGGAATAAATTTGTATTTTATTCAAAGGAATCAACAACATTACAACGCGACGGTAGTTATTCCATAACGTTTTGCAATCACGCAATATTGTTGAGTCAATATATAAAATATATACAAACTATATTATGCTACATAGTTAAAAGTTATCTTTTAAGTACTAATATAGTTTCAAGTAGTGATGTAAAGGTTTTTTGACACACGTTACAAGTCTACTGTTTGTACTTTGCGCCTTACTGTACCTTCAAGGCATTAATGTCATAGCATAACTGGTGTGGCGAGTTATAGTGAGTGAAACGTGGTAGGTGCTGTGAATCGAAAGCCGCTACACACGGAGCTTGCTAGCTGGAATACATTAGTTTTTACTTCACAACTCTTCACAAATCGTATTCTTGCAGTACAGTTAGCACGAAAAGGCTACATTTCAATATGATTTTAGAAAACAAATACAACTTCTGTTAATCCTTTGTTTCAAGTTGAACTTACAGAAAATATATATCCATGTTCGAAAATGTCACATGTATATTATTACTTCTGTGCTATGCCCCGCTAAAGTTTCCTCTACGAAGAATTTAAAGGAATGACATATTTTTTAACAAATAAATAAAAATCTATCAAATTTATTTAGTTGCATTATTTTGTGATTGTATGAGGTAACACGATATCTTAAATTTGTTTATTTTTAAAAATTTAATTTAAATTAAATAATGCCTACGTATTAAATACAGGACAATCGTGTTTATTAATTTTTAATTATTAAATAATTATTAGGAGAAAAAGCAGTCGCTATAATTGAGGAAGATTAGAAGTAAGCTCATAGTAAAATACTTTGGTTAGTTAATTTCTACTTCAACTAGTGACAAAATCGACTAGTTTAACAACCATGCGGAGATTTATTCGATTTTAAGAGCAAAATGAGGGGGAAGTGCTTTTGCGAATCTAATTTGTTACATACTTTCTACTCGTTCGTCGACCATTAATTGTCTTTCTATATATTTAAAAAATTAAATAACTTTTGTATTCAGATAATAGTGGGAATGTTAGTAGCATGCCACTTTGTTTTTCTGTTAGTACTCGTTTCCAACGGTAAAACGGCTCAGATAAGGTATTGGTGCCAATAACCTTATAGATCCTACTAGATTCTTCCTGTGCAGGTTCTATCGATATACGGTAGCTTCTTTAATCTAAGTTGAAATTTATGCAGCAACATAAACGTCCTCACGTGGAACTAATCTGTACTTTTGCTGCTGCAGTTAGTTATTAATTTTTTAACTGGCGTTTTGAGTTACCGATATTTAAGCGTTTTAATTAAACCAGATTTAGTTCCGTACGGAATTTAAAGGCTTAAACAATTTGAAACGTAGAATAAAAACTAGTTGTTAAAATGCTGAGGCAAATATTTTTTTATAAATTAACATTTAACAATTTCATTTACGAAGGAATAAGAGTTTAGAAAATTAACTATTTAGGAATTTGTAGTTAGTTAAAATAAAAAACAAGCGAAAAAAGTTAATTTTCATCATAATTCAAATGGTAATACCAAAGAAATAAATAATTAATCAATATATTTTAAAACTTAGTGAAAACTCTGTATAACTGTTTCTGACGTAAAAAAAAAAAATGCATCTCAACAAAATAAACATTGAATTTCCCTATCTTTTATTCACAATTTTTCCTAAGTGTTAAACGGTGTTACAATCATTCCTTTATATCATAAAGTGGCAGTGGCAACGTGGGCACCGGTTTCCCCACTCGTTAGACGAAACGCCGAAGTATAATACCTCTACTTCAGGCCGGTCTTCTGTGAGATCGTGGTGCCCAGTGGTAGGTTTACCCAGACGGACCTGTCCATTCGTGCAATAGCGAAGAACGTTGCGTCATACCAAAGAAAAAAGATATTTGGGAAGATATGTGATATTTTATTAATACATCATTTACGCGTGTATGTCAAGACAATTATGGGAATGTCTGTCATTGATTAGCTGTGAAGTAAATGTTTAATATGTAATATGCAATTTTAGTAATTAATCTCATTTAAGGCTTTTGTTGAAATATAACACATTAAATTGCCTGTCTAAATAAACTTGAGTTATAGTTTTAACAAGCAAGTTTAAAAATTTTTGATACGGTGTAGAAAATTAATTCTGAAAACACATATGAATTAATTTACTAGTACCTGTACTGAAAATATCAAAACGGCCTTGTTTCGACGTGGAAAAGGCGTATATTGCATTTTCCAATAGATGATGTGTCGAACGTATTTTAAACAAGTTAGCGGCCTACAGATAAATGTAGTATATTGATTTTGCCTACGTTAAATTTTCATATTGTTTATGTCCTCTTTTAAAACATTTTCCAAAATCATTCACGTGTTTACATTAAAGTCTTAGTCTTTCAAAACGATATTGATATCTCATTATCGTCACATTGGAGTACGAGAAAGTTCCCTTTCGATGTTAAGAAGTTCTAAAATTCCCCATTGAAATCTGTTCGAATAAATAAGATTCGTGTCGCAATTTGGTACAAAAGGCAGCGTATGAAAATGTAAGCACGGGAAGTTTATATTTTTTCGATAATTTCCCGTCGATCCATCCTTCGCTTCATATACTGCCTTCAGTCGTCAATCGGCTACGCGTGACTGACGCCATGCCTCGCCGAAGCAGCTTTAAGTTCGTGGATCACTGCCACGAAGCGATCGAATTTTCTCTGAAAGAGGCTTCAACGCCACTTTTCATGCGACTTTTGGAGAGACTAACGACATTGACAATACACATTTTATTCATTCAACATGTTTAAGTTCATTTTGAGTTGCCTAAAAATGGACAAAGCTCAATGCGAAATACGAAAAATGACGATATATTCGGTAATGATAACAATGCAGAGTGAAAAGACAAGATTTTTTACAACTTTAGACAGTTTTGTAAATCAAACAAGTTTATAGAATGACTTTAAAATAATAAAATAATACGGTGGTAGGGCCACGTATACGGTAGGCCACGCAGCAGCCTTGGCTGTTGCACGAATGGGCAGGTCCTTCCGGATAAGTAACCACGACCTCACAGAAGACCGGCGTAAAGTGAAAGTATAATACTTTCGCATTCTGTCTGGTAAGTTAGGTGGCC